CTACTGTCCCTACCATAGAGACTTACGAAGCAACACATCTAGCGGGGGCTGCTAGTTGAGTTCTGTGTGAGACATGATTATCGCGCCAGTGAAAATCCAGGCAGATAGCCAGAACAAAATGATAATGGTGACCTGAAGCTAAGGAGAAGGTCTGGGCCAGAGACCTTTTTCATTGTATGAGTGTAAATCCCTGTAATATATAAAACTACCCTGGGAGAAACCTATAGTGAGAAGAGAAGTAGGATAAGAATGCAACCCTGGGGAATCCCAATCAAAGTAGGAAAATAACTAGGAGAGCACAGCTATGAAATCCCAGGGACAGAGAGTTTCAGGACAGAAGGTCGTATCTCATGCAGTAGAGAAGTCAAGGAAGATAAGAAATGAAAAATGTTCATTGGATTTGGCAACAATCAGGTTAGTGGTGACTGGTGTTAGCAGTGAGGATGGTCTGCAGAAGGCCAGGAAGTGAGTGGGCAATGAAGACAAAGAACTTGATTTCAGGCAGCTGGAACAAAGCCTGACCACCCAAGGAGGTCACGTGCAATATGAGCTTCCACTCTGGAGCAGTAGAGGGTAAGGCCATTGGTGTGTGTGATTATGGTTGGTCAGGGCAGGGATGTAGGGGGTACCCAGGGAGGAAGGAAGGAGGTACACAAGAATAACCTAATTCACAAGAAAGCAGAAGTCTTGTTGGTAGCCACGGCGCCAGCCAGCTGATACAGGGAACGCCAGCTGTTTGCAGTAGGAGAGGAAATTGAAGAACTAGTGGTTAATGCATCTGGATTCTGGAATTCATGGGAAACACACTTTGTGACAGAGAAGCAGCAGGATGCAGTCAGGAGATAAAGAATTAAGAATTGTGGACTGTTTCACATGAAACTCCAGCTAGCCTCATAAACTCAGTAGCCAGGACATAACTTCCCAAGTCATAAAACAGGGGTGCAAACAGTCCTTACTGAGAGGGGAATCCAAACACTCCCCATGGTTAAGAATTATCTATGTTAATGTTCCTTTAGATGGCCTGATAATTAGGAGCTCACCATGCTCTACATAAACACCAGAACAGTGTTAAAACAGGGAAAACTGAAATTGTACTAAGGAATACCAAGCTCAGGACAAATTAAAACAAAGCAACTTAAACACACACTAGAGTATGCAGAGGTAGCTTTCAAATCCAGTAGTTTTCAAAAAAAGAGAAGGGATGAAACAAGGACATGGAAATATCAACCTAAAATGTTTTCTTCAATCCAGTGGCAGGAGAAAAAAGAACCAGGGAAGAGAACAAGTCGAAAGATGGTTCCAGATAATACCTACTCCCAAGATAGGAAACTGAAAGACAGACATTAAACCCAAATTTAAATGTCCAGGGGGTAAAAGTTCCCTATTTAACATTATCGACCATTTGATTTTTTTAAGTTGACATTCTCCTAAAGAAGGCTAAATAAGGTTTAGCCACAAACAGGAGAGTGACTTTGGGAAGTCACTTATCAGTTTCTTTGTTTAGTGCATACAGATGACAATCCAGACCAGGCTAGAAGATGCTTTGGAAAGTACGAAGCCATGCAGCCATCAACGCCAAGCCTCGGCTCTTTCCAGGCAAAGCATACTTTCGAGAAATGTGTTTGAGATAGCATAAGCCAAAAAGGGTTGGGTTGTAGTTGTGCAGGAGTGCTAGGTGTTGTGTAAATGTCCTAGTCAGTTCAAGAGGCCTTTGGCAAAGGAAAGGTACACACTACCCAGCAAGCTATGTCCTTGATGTCTGCCCAAGGCAGGAGGCAGGGCTGCCAAGGGCTGCAGCATATCACAGGGGTGACCCAGCGTTCCTTTCCTCTCCCGACTCGCAGAGCTTGAGAGGAACAGCTTGAACTCCAAATGGGGCCCTCTGCGCAGCTAAGGAAAACAGCTTCAAATCTTTCTGACATCTGCACAAAAGGGGTACTGAGGGGCTGCCCTGCAGGGTCAACAGTGCTGGGGCCAGTTTAAACAATCCTGCTTGGCCCTGGGAACACAGGCGCGTAGGGAGGAGGACGGAAAGGGACCTGGCGGCGTCAAGCATCTGTATCCACAGAGTCTGCCACATGTGCACCGGCCTTCTGATCTGGTTGGGAAATAGGACATCCCTGCTCTTGACTCAAGAAATATAGCTTGGTCTGGTTCAGTCACCTTGACAAACATTCCCAGAAACTCCAGACTTCACAAATAAACTTTTAGGAGCATGTTTAACTGAGTGGACTCTGAGTCATTTAAATATTGACAAAAAAAATCTGTGTGGTGATATTCTATTTTCCCCCATTTCACGCCCTTTCAACCACTTGTATTTTCAAAGGAGAAGCCAGACTAGGGCTCCAGATGTTTGGAACCCAAATGAAGGCTCCTCACAGAGGAAATCCAGTTCCTTCCGTCTTCAAAGATTAAAATCGCAGTCAGGGGTCAAACAATGAGGTCATTGTAGGCAAGCTTGCTGGCATTGGGCTGACCTCCAATCCAATATAAAATAAGATTTTTTTGCTTTTAAAGACTCCCCAGCCCAATCACCTGCTTCTCATTTGCCTGGATGTTTGGTCTGACCAACTGCTTCCCACATTCCCCCTAACCCATCTGGAAATGCCCTTTTGTGTCTAACTTCAAATCTCTTGTGCTTCCATTTGGGCCATTTTTATAATTTTCTATCGTTGCAGAGGTACACTAAGTCAATACGAATTACCCCTTAGGACAGTGAGTGGAGGACATGTCCATAAAATTCACAGAAAAAAATAAACATCTGATGAGCATGTGAGACACTCAAACTCGTTGTAGTCTGGGAATTGGGATCATTTTCACCCATATTAGCAAAAGTATCAAGTGTTGGCAGGGGTGTAGAGACATGGGCACTCTTGTACAATGCTGATGGAAGTGTAAATTGGAACACTTAGAGGGGTAATTGAGCATTAGCTTTGAAAATTAAAAATGTTAATTATTCCTGTAACTGGCAATTCTGATCCTTAGTATTTATGTTTGAGAAGAATACAAGGAGGCCTGTTCAAGAATTTTTTACTGTAGCACTGCCATTTTTTAACAAAAATGTGGAAATAACCGAAGTACTCATTAAAAGGGGAATGTCTGTATTAAACTATGGGGTAGAGGAAAAGGTCTTAAGAACATCAAAAGTGACCCAAAAACCCACCAAAGCACAGAATATATACATATGAGTATATTTTGGAAAAAAATCAGAAAATTAAACTATTTTGTACACATTTGTACATACCTCTGGTTTTGCACAGAAAAAGAACAGAAAGACAACACTGGGACTTAGAGAATGTCAAGGGAGACTTTTTTGTGCCAGCACTGCTTGTATGTTATTTAAAACAGTACTCATATATTAATTGTAAGATGTATTTTCCCAGTGTGTTTCCTGGTTGTAGATCACAGGCAAGGACATGGGCCTTGGTGGTTACCGTGAACATGACTTCCCTGGAAGGCAGCAGTGGGTAAAGTAAATAGGTGAAAAATCAAAGAACCCAGATAATTGCTCAGATCTGTCATCAATTTGCTGTGTGACCCCAGGCAATCATTTTCCTTCTCAGAGTCTCTTTCTTCTGAACAATCAGTGGATAAGATGAGAAGCTCATGAAGTTCCCTTCCCTTTGTGATATTTTATGATTCTCTAAGTCTGTGCTTTTAATGTATAATGGGTCTGGCTCTTTTTGATGAAGAGATGGCTTTTTATTCTCTCTTTTGAAATTCTGGCATAGTTTGACATTTCACTTTACTGCAAATGGAAGATAATAAAAGGGAAGGTGGTCACTCTGTTCCCTGCCTGGTTATGTTTTTGAGGGTTTGGTTGACCTACTTATGCTACGTTCTTTTGACAGCATAAGATCTTAGGCTTGTTTGAGTATAATGAGAGAGGAAATACAATGCTGGAAGTTGGAAGACATGAATTCTACAGGGTGGTCATAAATTTTGGAGACAGATTAGATTTTATTTTACCTTTTTATAGCTTGAACCTCCTTAAATACTTTCTCTGAGTTACATGAAAGGTGTTGGTTTATTCAGTGAAAATCAGAGATACAAATAATCTCTGGGGCAATATATCACATACACATATATAAAAATTGATGGACATGCTGTAATAATGGGGCATCCCTGGTGGCGCAGCGGTTGAGTGCTGGGTTGCGAAGCTGCCCGCAGCCTCTGCGGTGCCGGCTCGATCCCCGGCTGCTCCCTGGTCACTAGAGGAGGGTCCCACTTGGCGCACAGACCTCTCCTGCAGCCCGCTGCTCCCCTCAGCAGTGTACTTCGGTCCTTCTGCCTGCTCTGCTCCCTGCTCTGACTCTGGTGAATTCTCTCACCCTCCCGTGCTTCTGACTGTACCCAGTGCTTGTATAAATAAAATGAAAAAAATTAATTAATTAATTGATTTTAAAAAAAGAAATGCTGTAATAATGTACTGTGTTAATCGTAATTTGCACAACAGTTCAAATTGTGCATTGCTAATAAGGGACAATACATTGAGTATGATGCTTATAAACAAATCCTATGTTTTAATGTACCATCTATAAACCATTCTTTATGTATAGTCACCTGCGTTTCTGAACTTTATGACTACCCTTGATTTTGGACAAGTGACATCCCCAGTCTGCAGTAACTTGTTCCCTAGAGTGGCAGGAACGAACCAAGTAGATAGGAATGAGCTGAGAATTTACACATACCTACAAACAAATTATAATCTGTTTCTGCACAACCTAACTGGCTTTTGGAAATATTCCAGATGAAACCTTGAGGAAACCTTGGCATTAAGTCAACGAAGGAAACCTCTTCCTGGTCCCTTAGAGATTTTGACCAATCTAGTTCTATCTATCATTAGTTAGCAAAGCTCCTTCCAGCTGGTCCTCATCACTTTGCTTGTTCCATGAGGTCGTAAGATTAAATTCTAAGCAGTTTAGTTCTAAAGAACACACACACTTCAGATAACAGCCCCTGTGACTGTTAGTCTTTCAACAATAAAAGAAACAACTTACTCTTGCTCCTTTTTCAGGAAAGCATTTACAGCCTTCACTGCAGTCTCGGCCCATACACGAATTTCCATAGGACTTCTTCTCTCCCTGTTTGGAAAAAAAAATGTCACTTAGGCTTCCACCCTTTAAGGTCAACATTACTAAACAGCCAGTCTAGCAGCTGGTTCGGGAATGGTGACTCAAAATACCCACTTATTGGCAGAAATTCTGGTCACAAAATTTAAGAGGATTTCCTTACATGGGGCTAGAAATTGACACTACAGGGGCCTCCCTGGTGGCGCAAGGGCTTAAGACGCAACTTATGAAGCTATCTACAGCCACTGCAGCACAAGTTCCGTCCCCAGCCAGGGAGCCACCCCCATGGCGCAGCAGACCTCTCCTGACTTGCCCACTACTCCCCTCTACAGTATATTTCAGTCAGTCTGCCTGTTCTGTTCCCCACTCTGTCTCTGGTGAATCCTCTCACCCCCTCCCACCTCTGGCCTATCCCCCAGTTCTTGTATGCATAAATAAATAAATCTTTAAAAAAAAAAAAAGAAAAGGAGGGCCTCCCTGGTGGCACAGGCAGTTGAGCGCAGTGCTGTGAAGATGTGTGCAGCCTCTGCAGTGCGGGTTCGATTCCAGGCCGGCCAGGGAGCTACCCACATGGCACAGCAGACCTCTCCTGTCTCGCCCGCTGCTCCCCTCTTCCATGTATTTCAGTCAGTCTGCCTGTTCTGTTCCTCACTCTGTCTCTGGTGAATCCTCTCACCCTCCTGCACATCTGGCCTGTACTCTGGTTCTTGTATGCATGAATAAACAAATCTTTAAAAGAAAAAAGAAATTGACACTACACACATTCCTGTGTGGAAGCAGGAGGCTCACCGGACTTAAGATTTGCACCCATTGGGAAAATAGCTGTAGCAGAGAGCTTGAGAGTTCAAGTGTTAGAAATGGAATGACAGATGAAAATGGCTACTCTGTATTCTGCTCTCACAACTGTTCTCTTCAGATTCCACTTCCA